CCCTCTCCAAAGCGAAGCTTGAGCGAGCTCAAGCTTGAGCTCGCTCAGAGAAGAAGATGCTTCTCGGAGAGAGGGAAGTGAGTGTGTGTGGGAGACGGGGGGACTTGTGCGTTCAGTAAATTCCGTTGGAATTCGTCCCCCCCCTCTCCAGAGCTTGTGCGTTCACTGAATTCTGTTGGAATTCGCCCCCCCCCTCTCCAGAGCGAAGCTTGAGCGAGCTCGAGCCCACGCTCTTACAAAATCACACGCCAGATCGGCGGATTCGACTTCGCCAACGCCGGTGGGAGGGCTCCGAACTGCGAAGCTGTCACCTCTTTCGGGGGCTGCCGGGGGTCCAGCGCAGTGACGCTTCAAGCAGCTTCAGATTCGACCTCGCCATCTCTGGGGAGGGCTGCGAACTGCGAAACTGTCGCCACTTTCGGGCGCTGCTGGGGGGTACAGCGGAGCGAAGCCTTACTCAGATCCAGAATAGACTTCGCCATCCCTGAGGGGGGCTGCGAATTGCGACACTGGCGTCACTTTCGGGGGCTGTTGGGGGGTCCTGCGGAGTGGCGCCTGACGCAGATCCAGATTCGACCTCGCGATCCCTCGGGGGCTGGAAACTTTGAAATTTTCGCCACGTTCGAGGGCTGCTGGGGGTCCAGCGGGGTGACGCCTCACGCAGATTCAGGTTGGGCCTGTCCATCCCTGGTGGGCCGCGATGTTGCGGGCGCGGCCGCGCGCCCTATCGCTTTCAAGAGGTCTTCGCTATCGCACCCCCCAGGGGCGGGGGGCGCTATGCTGAAGCCCCGCACGCGTGGCCACCCACTCTTTCACGCCTGCCGCGCGCATGGTCAAATGCAAGGCCGGCCCCTGGGTCAAGAAGCTCGCGCAGCTCAGTCCCAGCATCGACGCCGCGTACGCGGCGGGCTTCGTCGTCGTCGAGCCGCAGAGTCGAGCCCGTTCGATTCATGGGCTTACGCCACACCGCCGACCCCTTACGGTTTACGCAGGAACGGGCGATTTTGCGCGGCTAGAGGCCCTCCAGGGGCGCATCGTGGATGCCTCTTTGGGCGTCTTGGGGGCCTGTTCAGCCGTTTGGAGGCCGTCGTCAGCGTTTTGGATCGCTCTTGGACCGTCGAGGACCATGTGGAGCTCTCTTCGAGGCCAGTCGGAGCGCTCCTGGAGCGATCTCGGGGCCGTTTTCGGAGCGCTTTTCAGGTCGTCTTGGACGTCGGGGGGCCAGTCTTGGGGCCCTCGAGGGCTCTGTGGGAACCCTCTTGGAGGCGTCGTGGGCCGTCTGGGAGCGGGTTTGGGTGGATCTGGGGCCGTCCAGCGCGGGGGACAACCCAAAAACGCACGTGTGAAAAACTATACGTTTTACGCAGGAAGCGAGCGATTTGTTACGTCTAGAGGCCGTCTTTGGGAGCAGCGTGGATGCCTCTTGGCGCGTCTTGGGGGCCTGTTCAGCCGTTTGGAGGCCGTCGTCAGCGTTTTGGATCGCTCTTGGACCGTCGAGGACCATGTGGAGCTCTCTTCGAGGCCAGTCGGAGCGCTCCTGGAGCGCTCTCGGGGCCGTTTTCGGAGCCCTTTTGGGCCGCCTTGGACGTCTGACCCGTCTTGAGCCCCTCGAGGGCTCTGTGGGAACCCTCCTGGAGGCGTCGTGGACCGTCTGGGAGCGGGTTTGTCCAGGAGCGGGGGGCACCCCAAAAGGCGCACGTATGAAAAAATATACTTTGTATGAAGGAAACGAACGATTTGTTGCGTCTAGAGGGGCTCTTGGGGGGAATCTTGGATGCCTCTGTGGGCGTCTGGGGAAGCCTCTTGAGCCGTCGGGAGGCCGTCGTCGATGGTTTTGATCGCTCTTGGACCGTCTGGGACCATGTGGAGCTTGGTAGAGGCCACTCGGAGCGCTCCTGGAGCGCTCGTGGGGCCGTTTTCGGAGCCCTCTTGGGCCGTCTTGGACGCCTGTTGGCCCATCGTGGGCCCTCTAGGGGTCTGCGGGGGACCCTCTGGGAGGCTTCTGGGGCCGTCTGGGAGCGGGTTTGGGGGCCTCTTGGGCCGTCGGGGAGCATCGGAAAGGTCCAAAGCGAAATTGGTAAAAATGTACATTTCACGAGGGGAATGGCCAAATTTTTGCGTCTAGGGACCCTCGTGGAACGCATCTCGGAGGCCCTCGGGGGGGCTCGTGGGGACCTCTTCTGCCGTCGAGGACGCCTCGTGGCCCGTCTTCGGGCCAACTTGGGTGTCTTGGAGCGCTCGTTGGGCGTCCCAAGCTCATTGCGAGGCCACCAGACGAGTCCCTACACGATTTTCCGAGGTTTTGCACGATTTTTCCGATGTTTTGCACGATTTTCGGGAGCGGGTGACACCTCCGGGCCCCGCGGGACATCCGTGTATACCCCCCCCCCTCCAAATCGAGCGGACCGGGCCCCCGGGGGAGGGGTTTGGGGAGGGGGAACATCTCACACGCCGACGAACCCCAAGGGGTCGGCGGATTTCTGCAAGCATGCGGTCACGCGCGTCGGCATCGTTATCTCCCACGCCGAGGTCCCGTCGCCCACGGCCTGCCAGGGCTGGACCATGCGCCGCGGAGTCATTGTCGACACCGGCTGCAATGTCGCGGAGGACTTGGGCGCCATCTGGCTGCACCTCGTGCGCATCGTTGCCCAGGGTGACGACGGTGGACAACCTTCTGATGATACGCGACCCCGGCTTGAGTTTCTTCCCGCGGGCCGCCTGCAGACTTGGTGGCGCGCTCGCGGGCGTCTATCCCCCGCGTTGAGAAGTATTGGGGGGGAGACGGAGAAGCTTGCAAGCGAGCTAGGTATCGCTCGCTTCTTGCATTAGCTACGGACAGCTTCTTTTGAACGCCACAGCGGCATGGCGCGGACAACGCTGCTTATCCAACGTGCTGTAGGGGAAAAACAACATTGGTCTTAATCGCTCCACCTCCTTCGGCGTCGTCTTCTTTCCCCTGCCACCTTCTCGCTGCTGCTGCTGCTGCTGCTGCTGCTGCTGCTGCCGCGTTGGCATCGCGGCCCCCCATTCCGCCCTTGTCGCCCCCCTCGTTCCCGCCCCCTTTCTTCTGCGAGCCTGGGGCGTCACCCCTCGCCTTTTTTTCGACCGCTGTCTTGTGAGTCTCGCAACGTGCGCGCATCCCACGTCGCCAGCGCAACAAACTACGGCGCCTGCCGTGTCGCTTTTCATGCTACGCAATAGTGGCCAACCCCTCTTGTCTCTTGATGCAAATGGGTGGGGTACGTCACAGAGCGATTGACGATTGCTTTGTGTTCTGGGCGCACTAGCCTGCTTAGGAATACAGTGGGAACCCGTACCAAGAAACACCCTGGTTGCATCCAGGGTGCCTTGGGTTTGATGGGTTTCGACGGTAGTGTTATGGAAAGCGTGAGGTTCCCACACCCAGAATCTTACATGGACGTCCTGGGGTCTCAGGGTTTGGATTTCCCCAACCATCCTGTGGTGCTGCGTCCTCGTTTTAAAGAGACGGTGCCCCGCGTTCCTCCTCCTCCTCCTCCTTTTCTCCTCCGTCTCCCTGCGTTTCACACCCAGTACAGCGCTTCGTGGCCCCATAGGGAGCTCCACCGAAGGCCCCAAAGGCAGGGTTTGCATGGCGGCCTCGGGCCATTTCGGCACACCCTTCACGAGGACCGTGGCCCCATAGGGAGCTCCACCGAAGGTCCCCACTGGCAGGGTTCGCATGGCGGCCTCGGGCCATTTCGGCACACCCCTCACGGGGATCGTGGCCCCATAGGGAGCTCCACCGAAGGTCCCAGTGGCAGGGTTCGCATGGCGGCCCCGGGCTATTTGGGCTCACCCCTCACGAGGATCGTGGCCCAATATGGAGCTCCACCGAAGGCGCCAGCGGCAGGGTTCGCAGGGCGGCCTCGGGCCATTTCGGCACACCCATCACGAGGATCGTGGCTCCACAGGAGCTCCACAAAAGGCGCCAGTGGCAGGTTTCGCATGGCGGCCCCAGGCCATTGCGGCACACCCCATCACGAGGATCGTGGCCCCATAGTTGTGTTGCTTCAACAACCGCGCCTGGGCGTCGTACTCCGCCTTGTCGACGTGCAACGCCACCTCCTCCCTCATGGCTCTCAAAGCCCTCTCCTGCTTCTGCTCCTCGCTCAGAGGGGCGCCGTCCTTGTCGTCGTCGGCGCCCGCGAAGACGACCACGAACGTGTTCCTGAGCATATCGGGCTCCGGCGGGAAGCCGTGGCCACATGGGGAGCGCGGGCGAAGATGGTATTCACAATTGCGGCATTCACAATTGCATATGGTTGGGTCCTTCGCCAAGCTAATGTGTGGAAGTTCACAGCATGTATGTATATATGTATATACATACATACATATATATATATACATATATATATATATATATACCGTGCCGCTTTTTTGCGATCGAATTATCTCCAGACTCCAACATCAACGTGCTGATTTTATCAGTTCGCACGTAACCGCCCCGACGTGAACCACCAGGTCGAACGGGGGCTGTCAATGTAGGACACCCGGTTTTTTGTTGCAGCCGCTGGCGAGTGGCCCAAATATACCACCATCATCAGGCGGTTTGACACACCTGTGCGTTTTCAGCGTTGACCGACCATTGCAACACAGAGCCCCGTCTTCGCCACGATCGTTTTGTTAGATTTGCATGAGGAGCGGCAAGTTAACACACGGCCTGGGACCGCGCACGGACAACACTGAGAGGTAAGTTCCAGGCAAGTTTTTCGACGGCACAACATGGCCCAAAAACTGTTTTCACTGGCCCCCAGGGAAATCAAGCCGGGGCCGCCTCAGGAGCCCCTCCAGGCCCCCCGGACTTCCCCGGGGGCCCGCGGAGGCCGGCCTGAAATGTATTAGCAGGTGTTGCTTGAGCGCCGCTCCCCCGCAGTCGTGCCGTCTATTCGTATGTCGTTTTCCAGGGGTCGTCCCGCGGTTGTAAACAGTGCGCAGCCCCATGCCATGCCATGGATGACGGGAATGGGAACCCCCTCGAGGCCTTTGGCTTCGCGCGGCGACCGATGCGGCACGTGCCGCTCCTGGGTGGCGATGTATGCGCCGCCCATCGACCGCCGCCGCCGCAGTCCAAGCCCAGCCGCTGCTGGCCGGCAGCACGAAGCCCAGGCAGAGGTCGCGTTGACACCGTGGCCCAGGCGGCAACGACAACAACGACGACGACGTTTTCGTTCGGAGGCAAATGCGAGGTGTTTGGAGGTTTGAGGATGTTCTCGTGGCCACGGCCAAACGCGACTCGGAAAACAGGTCGGGATGGTGCCCAGGAGTCTTCCTTGGGATGGAAAAGAGGGACCCAAAACGACGAAGACGGCAACGAGGACAAAGGAGGCAACCGGACGTTTGTCGCAGTTGTGGGGGGTCGGGGCCCTTGCCGGCAGCCAAAGCGCTCGACGAAAGTATCCAAACGGCGGCTCTGATGCCCCGATTGAAAATATGTCAACGACGCTATGGCCGTCCCAGTGTCGTGGAGAATTCACGTTGGGCGTCTTTGTCCCATCCCTGGGGCCCTCACAGATAGACGTGGCTCGAGAAATCTCGCGTGAAGGTGGGGTGAGAAGCTCTGGTTGTGATTTATCACCGCGCATGTTTCACAAAGGATCGGGCATCGGAGGACGAAGGGTGGGGGACGCAGGACGAGGGATAGAAGCAGGAGGGGAGATGGGAGGAATGGGCCAGCGCAGGGCTGGCGCCGTGACCCAGGCAACAAAGAAGGGGTCGGGGGGGAGCTCAGACCTCAAGGCTCCGCGGAAAAAAAGTGCTGCGGGCGTGTTCTCTTGATGCTGGCGTCTTGGGGTAGGGAGAGGAGGAGGAGGAGGAGGAGAAGGAGGAGGAGGAGGAGGAGGAGGAGGAGGGAGAGGAGAAGCAGGAGCAAGAGGAGGAAGGGAGGCTTCCTTTTCCTCCACCCAGTGGCTCTCTCCTCTCCGGACGTGGGAGGGGGACCGGAAGAGGGGGAGGCAGGGCGCAGAGCAGTAGACTCAGTAGACGGCCCAGGTATTTCAGAACTGGTGGCGGCTGACAACGGACAGGAATTACCTCGCCTCTCCGTCAAGCCGACGTGTATTCTGGAGGTTCTGCTCGCTTTTCCTCCTTCTTCTCCTCCTCTTCCTTTTCCTCCTCTTCCTCGTCCTCCTCTTTGTCCTCCTCCGTGTTCTCCTTCTCTTCGGTTCCTCCTCATCGTTTTCGTCCTCATCGTCCTTCTCATCGGTTCGTCTTTCTCCTTGGATCCTCCTACCCTTCGTCATCTCCTCCTTCTCCTCGCATCCTCCTTCTTAAATCCTCGATTCCTTCTCCTTCCTGTCGAATCGGATCTCGTATCTGCCCCTGCGCGCGGATCAAGCCGTCTGATGGTGGAAAAGCATACCTTGTTTGCCACATCTGTTTTCGAACGCCTGCGATTATGGTTGGTAGTGGAGACAGAAGGCCCGCAGCTACGGAACAAACGCCGCACGCGCTGCACGGGTGTAGTCATGGACGCATTGCAGCCCTGGCGGTTTCAATTCCCATCCTCCCGCTGGTCGTTATTCCAGATGGACAGATTGCTGGTGGTTTGCAGGCTCTGAGTCACCACCAGCACATCGCATCTCTTGTGGATTAAGATCGCCCCCGCGATCCCAGGCCGGCGGCAACTCGGTCGGGACACCGCGCGCATGGGCGGGCTCAGCCCAACAGCGTACGCGTTGATCCCACGCACGATGTTTCTTGAGCTGGGGCGCTGACCAGAATAGCAACCCTTGCCACGATCGCGATTATGCTCGGCGCCGTCGTCTTTGCAATCGGCACATAGCGACCATCGAGGGCACTCGTCAATGTGCCTCTTCGACCCCCAGAAAAGGGGCGACTGCGCGAGCGCGGCGCACGTCCCACAGGAGTTTCCTGGTACCTCGCGGGCTAGGCTAGGCCGCGGACCCCCCTAAGAACAGCGCGTTCGGAAGTTACGTAACCAGGTCAGGTATGATCGGAAGCATGTTTAGAACGTGTGCTTGGCTGTCCTGTATCATGTGGGGTGGCCGAGAGACCTAGGTTGGCGGCCGAGCGCGGGGAGCGAGACCAGCAACCCCACGAGGCTCGGAGGCAGCGCGAGAGGAAGCCCGGGCGCGAACCAACACAGCACCGCCCAGCAAGACGGGCGCACCACAGCGCCCGAGCTCCTGCGCGCGAGGCCAGCCCAGAGCGGGCTCAAGCTGATCGCCGGTCACATCGTGATCGCAGTCGCTCCCTCCGCGGCCATCGCGAGACGAGCAGCGCCAGCAGCGCGCCCGGGGGTCCAGCGACCGCAGCTCGCGCGCCGCCACGGACAAGGACGGCAGCCCGCGCCCGTCGCGCAGCCCGCCTGGCCGCGGGCAGCCTCGCCAGGGCACGGGCAAGCTGGCGCGGGCCATGGAGCTGACGGTCATGGCGCAGCCTCCTTTGCTGCCCAGGCCCGCCAGGAAAAGCAGTGGGAGATTGCACTTTCGAGGGCGAGCGGGACATCGCCGACTTCCTCCGCGCCTGGAGACGTCGGATGCCCGCGCCGTCGAGGTTGCCCCCAGAATGCCGCGCGCTCCGAGGGGCATGCGCAGCGCCCCGCGCGCGGCCACTCGGGGCCCTGATCCCGACGACCCAGGTCAGGGAGATCCCTTCAATTGCGTCCGGGGCGACCGTGGCAAGATGGCCGCGCCCCCGACCTGGGGCGAGATCGCCGATCGCCCTTGGGTCGGCGCTCTTCGCCCGCTACGCGTTCACTCCACTCCTCGAGCACACTGGACTTTCCAGACGACGAGCTCAAAGTACGCAAGAGTAGATTCAACAATATATGATCGAGCAATTCTTCCAACCCCTCAAAAATGCAAAAGTAATGCGCCCGAATTGCGCCCGGCAGACGTTGCATTCTTTTAACGTAAAAAGAATGCGAACCAAAATGCGCCCGGAAGATGCTGCATTCTTTTTACGCAATTAGTGTGTCGCCCCAAAACGCGCCCGGCGCGCCCGGAAGATGTTGCAGTCTTTTTGCGTTGTAAAAGCGACCAACATGCGACCCAGAAGACGTTGTTTCAGGCATTTAGAGAACTATCGGCACATATGTGCCCAGTATATTTATATATATATATATATATATATATATATATATATATCTATATATATGTATGTGTGTATATGTATGTAAATATATACATATGAAACAACGAAAACGCGCGCCAGAACGATTGCGCACTCTTTTGATTGATTGCGCGCTTTTTTCCCCACATGCTTAGTGGGATTATGGTTTTCTTCCTTCACGCGTCGCACCCGCGCTCCTCCTCCTCGCCCCTCCTCCTCCTTCTCCCTCTCGCACAGCACAGCGCAGCACAGCGCAGCGCAGCGCAGCACAGCACAGCACACAGCATATTGACACATAGCACGTATACAACACAGCACTGTTCAGCACAGCTCATCACAGCTGAGCACAGCACAGCACAGCACATCTCATCTCAACACAGCACAGCTCAGCACAGCACAGCACAGCACAACACTGCACAGCACCTCAGCACAGCACAGCACAGCTCAGCACAGCACATCTTGACACCATAAGGGGGTGCGCAGCGGTTGGTCTCTGAGCGCGGCCGCTACCCACGACACTGTCGCAAAGCCTAGCAGGCGTGGCACGTTGTGGACACCATATGGGGGTGCGCAGGGGGCAGTCTCTCAGCGCGGCCGCTATCCACGACACTGTCGCAAAGCTTAGCAGGCGTGACACTTTCTGGACACCATAAAGGGGGTGCGCAGGGGGTGGTCTCTGAGCGCGGCCGCTATCCGCGACACTGTCGCAAAGCCTCGCAGGCGTGGCACTTTCTGGACACCACAAGGGGTTGCGCAGGGGGTGGTCTCTCAGCGCGGTCGCTATCCACGACACTGTCGCAAAGCCTACCAGGCGTGGCATTTCCTGGACATCATAAGGGGGTGCGCAGGGGGTGGTCTCCCAGCGCGGCCGCTATCCACGACACTGCCGCAAAGCCTAGCAGGCGTGGCACTATCTGGACACCATAGGGGGTGCGCAGGGGGTGGTCTCCCAGCGCGGCCGCTATCCACGACACTGTCGCAGAGCCTAGCAGGCGTGGCAGTTTCTGGACACCACAAGGGGTGCGCAGGGGGTGGTCTCTCAGCGCGGCCGCTATCCACGACACTGTAGCGAAGCCTCGCAGGCGTGGCAGTTTCTGGACACCACAAGGGGGTGCGCAGGGGGGGGTCTCTCAGCGCGGCCGCTATCCACGACACTGTAGCGAAGCCTCGCAGGCGTGGCACTATCTGGGCACCATAAAGGGGTGCGCAGGGGGGGTCTCTGAGCGCGGCCGCTACCCACGACACTGTCGCAAAGCCTAGCAGGCGTGGCACTTTCTGGACACCATAGGGGGTGCGCAGGGGGTGGTCTCCCAGCGCGGCCGCTATCCACGACACCGTCGCAAAGCCTAGCAGGCGTGGCACTTGCTGGACACCATAGGGGGTGCGCAGGGCGTGGTCTCTGAGGGGGTGCGCTGGGGGTACGGTCGCAATCCGTTTCGGGCTCGCAACGCGTGGCAGGCGTGGCACTTCTCGATGCCACAGGGGGTGCGTTGGGTGCGGTCGCTATCCGCTTCGCCCTCGCAAAGCGTGGCAGGCGTGAAACTTCATCTTCGCCACAGGGGGTGCGCTGGGGGTGCGGTCGCTATCCGTTTTGGGCTCGCAACGTGTGGCAGGCGTGGCATCTTCTCGATGCCACAGGGGGTGCGCTGGGGGTGCGGCCGCTGTCCGCCCCGGCCCCGCCCCGCAAAGCGTGGCAGGCGTGCCATTTTCTCGATGCCGCAGAGGGGTACGATGGGGGTGCGGTCGCTATCCGCTTCGGGCTCGCAAAGCGTGGCACGCGTGGCAGCTTCTCGACGCCGCGTGGAGGGTTGGGGGTGCGGTTGCTATCCGTTCCGGGCCCGCAAAGCGCGGCAGGCGTGGCATTTCCTCGACGCCACAGGGGGTGCGCTGGTGTGGCAGGCGTTACGCTTCCAAGACGCTATAGAGGGTGACTTGGGGGTGCGGTCGGCATCCGTTTCGAGCTCGCAAAGCATGGTGGGCGCGGCGCTTTGACTGGCGTCACCAATGGTATCGGCGGGGCAACGGCCACCAACGTCATTCTCACATGCTTCACTTCAGCTATCATCACTCCAGCCATCATACAAGTATTTGGGTTTCCTCGGTGGCGTAATTATGCAGCGCGCGCTCTTTTTATGGAGGCGCCCATAAAGACATTTGAATTGCGCCTGCTTTGTGCGCCGTGTGACGCGACGCATTTCGCCAGATCGTTTTCATGTTTCTTGCGCGCCCATATTTTGTACCCACCTCCCATCCTTCCCCCTACCTTCTGGCGAGCCTTTCCCTGGCAGCCCCGGCGGGCGGGACATCCCAGACCCAGGGGGGAGGGCGGCGCGGGTCAAGCTGCCCACCCGCCCGCAAGCCGATTCGTTTACTCCCGCCCGCCCTCTCAACTCACGCACGCACGCAACTCAACAGATGTGAAAGATGTAATGATACTTATAAACACAAACGCTTATTACTTATTGTAGGTGGGGGGAGGGGCGAGTAGGGCCAGGGCCAGGGTAATTAGGGGGGCAGGGCAGGGCAGGGATGCAGGAGGTAGGGAGGGGGAGGGGGGAGGGAGGCATGAGGCAAGACAATGTTTGGGGGGCTCTGTGAAAATCCTAAGGGCCTTAAGGCCTAAGGCATAGGGCCTGAGGGCCCCTCCCCCCCCAGGGCCCCAGAGTCCCAGCGGGCGGCTTCTCTTCGCGCGCGCGCCCGGGAAGCAGCCGGGAAAACGCACTCTTGTCGCATACTTTCAGGCGGCCGATCCGGCCGCGCATTCTTGTTGCATCCTTTTTAGCATACTTTCTGCATATGTTCAGGCGGCCGATTCGGAAGCGCATTCTTTTTACATTATTGTCAGCATACTTTTTGCATACTTTCTGCATATTTTCAGGCGGCCGATTCGGCCGCGAATTCTTTTTGCATTCTGTTCAGCATACTTTGAGCATAATTTGAGCATACTGTCGGGCGGCCGATTCGGCCGCGCATTCTTTGTGCATTATTTTCA